GCCCAGGGGGGAGGCGGAAATAAAAATATATTGTGGACCCCATGCATGGCGTGAACAAATCGGCTGACAAGGAACCCTACCCTATACATCGTAGAAGTAAACGTTTGGCCGAACGCCTGGCTAGTCCTGCTGCAGCTGGCCGGCACATCCAATGCGTGGCGCACTGCTGTTGTGCCTCTCGTATGCCCACATAGTGCCCGAGTAGAATCGGCTTCACCGCCGAGCGATGCTCAACCCGAGGCCCCGTGTTACCGTCATCTGATACGGGCTGATCGTAGCCCGGAGCTACAGGTTCTCAAGTACCCCCTGAGAAGCTCCTTCGCTTCAGAAAACACGACAACACGGCAACACGAAAGAGACTTGTGGACACTTGGACTGGTACTTCAAGTACGTCGCAAAAGCATTGTACTTGAATGACATAATACACAGGCACGCACAGGGGGGACAACTCTTCCGCCAAACAAACAAGACATTCATTTGATAATAACCACCCGACTCAGAAAATACGGCCACGAAGGTCGGCACGCGACTCCCCTGTAGAGCGAATACGTACAAGTTCCGGGATGGAAACCAAACCCAGACCAACCCAGAAGTTTTATAACCAGGGAAAAATGCCCGAACATAACAAAATCGACTTTTCGTCCGTCGCCGACGTCTGCTGCTGCCAACCAAGCCCCCCCCCCCCCCATCGACCGAGAGGCACATTTCCTCCGCTGCTTTCGTGTCAGATTTCGAAAAGTGTTCACGAGGCCCCGCGACTTCAGCCCGCCGGGACCAGGACATTGCTAGTCGCACACCGTCATGTACGCGCGTTTCTGCATTACGACGCACTCGAGGGACCTACTGCCGTACAATCGACGGACGGCCGCAAACTTCACAACCACGCCTTGGACTTGGCTTCGACCATGTCCTGCAGCGTCTTCGCGGCCTGCTTCGTGCCGCTGTCCCTGATGGCGTACTTCACCCCCTTGCTAAGCCAGGCGATCGCTCTCGAGAGCTTCACGTCTCCCACGACCACGCAAACCTGGCGATGCCGACGACAACAACGACAGCACGACCGCATGAGGCCACGAGGCTGGGACTGTGAAATCAAAGAGCTTGGGAGGAGGAATTCGCAGAACCATATGAATTTGACATTTTCTTCTAATATCGAACATCACGCCACCACCATCGCGATGGACATCTGTTCGGTCGTTCTTTGAGTGGCTGGAGAACATTAGTTTTCGGAGCTACAGTACTATACCTATCGAACGACAAGTCATACGTGAGGCATAGAAGAGACTGCGCCCAGCGCGAGCGTCATGAACTTTCAAAGTATCGCGTGGTCACCGCTGCCCACCTTGACTCGGACGGAGTTTTCGGGGTCGTGCTCGGATCGGGTTACTCGGAAGGTGGTCTTGACGACCAGGTTGCCGCGGAACATGGGCAGCCCGGAGATGCAATCGGTCTCCGTGTAGGTCACCTCGTCCTCGCCCTCGCGCAACCTGATTCAACAAGACACGGGAGAAAAAACGGGAAATATGCTTGCACAAAATACGAAAAAGCGGAGCTCTCTACAAACAAACATGGGTAGAAAACAATCGAGAGCATTTTCGGGCAAATCCTGCACAGGCACACGCTTCAAGAATCAACAGTAGCTCGATGCATGCACGCTGGTCAGGGGGCAAGGTAGACGGCTTGGTAGGAATGACGGGGAATGACGGGGAGGGTGGCGTCGTGAAAGTGAAAAGCAACGTGATTTTTTTTTGCTACAAGGGCCGAACGTCGAAGGCGCCATGGATGAGTCCTAGCACCCAACACCTTTTGCTACCAGAGGAAAACACCACTAGTCACTGAAACAGGGGACAGACATATGTGAGCTTCCGATGTCAATCTGCAACGTCTTTGCGTGTTCGCGTTGGGGACGCCGCCGAAGCACCACAGACGTGGCCAGGAACGGCAACACAAGCAGGTCATCTTCCCACTCACGTGTGTCCCTGTGCGCCCTCGTTCTGGGAGGAACCAATAGGCGAGGAGACAGCGTACTTGAGGCGGACCTTGCGGTACATCTGCTGGGGCTCACTCTGCCGTTGCTGCTGCTGCTGCTGCTGTTGGTGGCGGTGGGGGCGGAGGAAGGGGCCCGGCCGCCGTGCGACAACGTTAGAGAACATGTTGTGCGCGACCGACACTGCCGTTTGAGCACCCGCGCCGTCCGGCTGGGGAGGAGAATGCGTGGGCGAGGAGGCCGCGGCGTAGATGCGGCGCAAGTTGCGAACCATCTGCCGGTTGGGGACAGGAAGCGATTCGTTAATTTAAAGTAATTTAAGTTCGGCCGCGAGTGTAACAGTCAGACATCAGCCTCGACGAAGAACAAAAACATGTCGGGGTGATAAGATACGACGGCCATGTACACACAACCAATCGTTTACTTGAACGCTGAACGAACAACGAGGCAGCGTTTGTTGGTCGGACTGCTGTCGTCTTGGTGCTCGGTTGTCAACCGCTTGTTGCCAACACCTTCGCCCAGAGATATCTCTTTGTACAAGTGTGAGCTTGACGCCGGGAATAGAAGCAGCACCGAGACACAATTCGTTTGGTTTTCGGGCTTTGAACGCCTGAATCAAAAGTATTTGCGCGTCCTCCAGCAAGAAACGATCGCGTTTGTCCAATCAAGCACTCAATAACTCCTTGACGTCGAATTAAATTTACTGTGAAAAGCTAACTCGCCAAAATTCGACCACCTTCGGCCCGTCGCCCAGCGGCCTGCCGCATAAACCGTCTACCTACGAGGACTTCACGCCATAGCAACAAAGAGAGAACACACACGCCTGGCCATTGCATCGCGGTACCCACACATGCACATGATTTCACAGATTTCTTTCCATCCACACGCAAAAGGTTATCTCGCGCAAGGTTCCATTCATATTCATGCCGGGGGTGAGTAATGGGGTAGCGCTGTGAATCGGTACACCGCGAGGAGGCTCGTCCCGGGGAGCGATCGTGTAGTCATTACCTGCATCTTTGTGTCGGCAACAACGGCTGTCTGCTGTGCCCCCTGGCCGGTCGTCGCGCTGGGATGGCTGCCTGGTCTCCCCTGCAGCCCGCCGCCCTCCAAGCCCAAGCATACCGGGCGTATCCTGTCGAGGGGGGGGTAGGGCACCACCTCCTCGCTGTTCCTGCTCGACCGCGGGGCCTCCTCGTCTTCGTTCTGGAACTCCCAGACCACCCAATCACCGAGCTCCATCACCTGGGGTAGGCAAGCATGCTGGTGTGATTCTTGGCAGTAGTACCACGTCCTACAGTAGTAAGAGTGACAACTAATTACAGAGGCTGTCGTAGGTGATATTTTGTCTTATCAACGCATTTCCTGCCGTTTGTATTTCACTCCAACTGTCACGACATCCTGATGGTGGGTCGGGTTTGGGTTTTGTAGGTCATACTCTTGCGCAAAGGGGGAGAAACTCGTGCTCTCACCTGCTGTTTTGACAACTTGGTCTCCGCCCTGGTGCTCCGGTAGAACTCCTGGGAGCGTGCCAGCCGGGCAAACATTTCCGCGCTTATGGGCAAGGTGGTGTCGAGCTGGACGTTCTCGGCCCTGTGTAAGGAGAGAAGATGTAGCATCGTAGGAACCACCGGAGGGACCGACTGACAACATTGACTTCCGGTTGGTTGGCGATTTCAGCATTGAGAAGGTCTCTATACGGAAAGCAAGCAATCTCGAGCTGCAGTCATTCACAATACGTATGTACAGTGTGTATCGGGCGGGATGCATCGTGTGCCACGCGTGGGACGGTGGGCACGCGTTGCAATGTCAATACCAACCAGGGGCGTTGTGAAAGGCAGGACGGACGGCCGAGACGCAAACGCGATAGGCTAAACCTTGGTCGCCAAGAGAGAGGGAAGTTCCGCTTGCATAGGGGCGAAAGGGAGCAAAGAAACAGCGGCCGACGTCGCAGGTGTGGGCAGCAGGATCATCCCTTGTCCCTAGTGCTTGTGGCTAAGGCGAGGAAACCCTCTATATCCATTGACGTACGGATTCCGCCGAACTCATTCCTCACAAGTTTCTTGTCGGTACGATTATTTTCCTACAACAACCAATAGCTCGCGCCTCACGCATCAATTCATCCATGGGCATGCGGTTCGATTTTCCCATAGCAACAACCACAATATGACTCTGAGAGGGACTTCAAGACGACGCGGGAGAGAGAGGCGGAATCTGCTAAAATTGATCAAATAACGTGATCCCAGCAAACAGCGCATCGTTCATATTGTTGTCGCACGGAATAAGACCGGTGTATTTGTAAATTCCTGTCAAGAACCGTGGGAGTTTCGAAACATTGGTGTACTTGTCCGTACGTGTGTTCATCCCAGTAGGCGTGAACAGGCCTGCCCCGAACTATGGTCTGGTGTGCGGAACGTTGCTCGCCCACCAATGGAACCGAGGGCGTCATCGCCATCCTTCGACATAGCACCCTACACGTCCACGAACGAAGTTTTCACAACCATTGTTGTTGAGACGACCGATCGTTGTCGAGAACTCCAACACCACAAAATGAAAAACGGAATTATGGCGATGGTGACCACTCGGTGATGCCGCAAAGGTCTCCGACACCAACGCAAAATAATTGGTGTGGTGTGTGTATTTTCGTCCTAATTATTATGGCGACAGTCCCCCCATTTTTCGTGGTGAGACGTGTACTACAGTACATATGTTTTTGTACAACTACAACTTTTTTTTTTTTTTTTGTTCTTCACTTCAAATCAGCGCTCACAGCACTAGTAGTGCCGTTTATTCCAACCCGTGGTCACACAGAAGAGCCTCTCTCTACCCTCCCCTCCTGCGGTACTTCGCCTTCAATTTTTAATGCGAGAAGAGTTCAGCACTCTCTTCCCTCTGTGTACACACGAACTAGCGCTATCCACTTGGCCAGGAGCAACTATGTTCTTTACTGTAGCCAACCGGAATATTTAAGCCAACCCCCTTACCTCACAGACGTCACGTCAATATCGAGCAAAGTGATCCATACCAGGCTGAGCGAAAGGCATCTGCTTGACCACGACATCGCCATGCTCGACTTAGAAATATGCTCCATAGTGGAAAATGTGACGGAAATCCTCTTGGAAAAAAAGGGGGCGGGGGGGGAAGCGAGAGAGAGAGAGAGGGAGAGAGAAAGAGAGAGAGAGAGAGAGAGAGAGAGAGAGAGAGAGAGAGAGAGAGAGAGAGAGAGAGAGAGAGAGAGAGAGAGAGAGAGTCGATTAGTGGGACGTTAACAAGACTGAAGAGCAATGTCGGCCCTTGCGGTGTCTCTGCGGCACCCTACGTACCCAGCACGGTGACTGTGCCGGTCGTCGCTGCCTCAAGGTCCGAACAGTTTGTGAAAAGGCAGACAACATGGCCGGCGTCCACCCGGAACATGCGGCGGCCTTCACCCGACGCCGGTGATTGACCAATTAGGCACCCTAAGGATGGATCTCAAGGCTCGGGACATGCTCTAGATCTTCAGTAGGTGCCCGTACGTAACCCAGCCCACTTTTGCTGAGGCTGGGGTTCCTAGTTCCTCGGGTTATGCTACGAATACCACCGTATAGGTTTTAGGGTGAGGGGTTCATAATCGAGCTCACAATGGTGCTCAACTTCTTCAATGATGAGGTTTTCGAGGCTGGATTTCTTGACTGCCATTCTTGTTCAACACCGATGAGCATCTTCGATGGATTTTTATTTCCTTGTTCGTAGTTGCATCGTGCTTGTTGTTCAGGAAGCGGAAACCCTACCCATATCCCCCGCCACTGGATGCGGGCCAGTTGTATGAATTCCTATCGTATTGTTCGCTTGCTAACCTTGCGTCAGTTCGGAAGTAATGTTTCACAGCGAATAAGCCGATTGCTTTTTCTCATAGAAAAGAGATATCCTAACCCCCATGTTGGAGCATACAGTTGTGGTACCGTTGGTTGTTAGAGGGTGGTATGACAACGGCCCTCGACCTTCTTACCCTCTTAGTTCGGTATATGACGCGTTCGTTTCGGTATTCAGTTCAAGTCAAGCAGTGATGACACCTTGCTGGAGAGAAAAAGTGTCGCCCGCAGTCAGAACATGAAAATTCATTCAAACGCGTTAGTTTACCGTATGTAAGAATCGATACAACACTGGAAAGCAAAGCGCGAAACCAACATGCTGCAAAGCCTCGACCACCTCTCCGACTATGAGAAGCTTCCTTGTACACGGGCTGCAAATGCCGTACAACAAGAAAGACCAACCTCCGCCTCCCGCACACTTTGGTTACTACTGCCGTTCCACAGAGTCGGGCCTGTATGAGCATACGCATCGCCAACATTTAAGATATGTCCCTGACGCCTGCCTGCCGTGGTGGTTTAGAAGCGAATGCTGCAGGGAACGACACACTCTAGCCTTGCGCAAAAATCCCCTGCTTCTACATTGTGATTGCCAGACGACTCCGCGCAGTGCGCCAACGGGCCAAAAAAATGAGATGGTGCAGCGTAAAGTACGGTCCCCCGCCCGTACCGCTTTCGCGGGAAATTCACCACAAGGAAATAGAACAGGGAGGGGGGACGAGGGACGCGGACCCTGTTCCCTACAATCCTAACCCTAACCCAACTTCCCCGATTCTATGCTTTGTCCAACATGTTTGTTGTACAGAAAAAAACTGCGAAGGCTACACCCAGTGAAAATTGTCGCCGTCTTGGTCATCGAGTAGCCCTACAGAGATAGATAGCTCGTATTATAGTCAGAAGGGTCGACCTCCTGACGATTGCAAAAAAAAATTCACACTATTTCGTTAAGCTGGCCGCCACAACCTCGACACTCATACCCATCGAGGGCTCAATCGTGACGTCTGGGTATGACACGCTTCTCCAGCCGCACATGGCTGCCGCCGGTCGGTGCGGTTGGCGCCACAATTGTTGTGTGTTTTTTGTGCTAGCATCGCCTCCTTCACTATGGGGCGCGCACAAAGGAGCGGGTGGTCAGCATCCACTGAAACTGAGGTAATCATACGATCCGTGGCGCGTAGAGAGGTGAGGGTCGCAGGAGGTGGGCAGACATCGCGTGTATGAGAACGACGTGTACATTTGAGAAAATTCACATAGGGTTGTCAAAGGTCTGAGGGGCGGGTGTGAGCGTTTTAATGTGTTTCGGTGATCCGTCTCGAGAAACCGGGGTTGGAAATTATGACGACAAAATTGTGGACCGTTGGTGGACCCTCTGCTGCTTTATATTGTATCACGGTAGGCGCACTCTCTCCGGGCAAGCCCGAGATTATTGTACGGGGTCAGAGGCCAATGATCCGAAAGCGGAAGTTCGCAAGCAGCACCACACACGGCGATGGAAGTGGTGCCGTGAGAGTGGTCAAAATTGGCCGTTTTACTTCTCTACAGCAGTCAGTCCGCGGACTCTCTCGTGCACCTTACACCCACCAACACCCACCTGTTCACTGATGATCAAAGGGGGGGACGAGCAGGAGCAGCAGCCGTCACTCCAGTTACACCTGTAGAAGAGGAGGAGAGGGCGTCTGCAGAGAGTGGGGCAGATGGTGGCAGGCAAAGTTGTTGTGGCGTCTCGTGGCCTTGCAACCAAACAAGAATACAACTTATTTGTAGTACATGCAAAACAGATTATGTCGTGTGTTTTTGTTGATAGCATCGACCGCGCTAACCGGCTGACCAATGAAAATACGTCAGTCTCCGTGCGGGTAAAAACCAAGAACACTTCTGACGTGTGTTTCTTCAGATGTGTGTCCATATTATTCGCATCGACCGCGCTGTCCGGTTGACCAATGAAAATACGTCAATGTGTGTGTATGTTTTCGTTACAAGAACACAAGAACACAACGGCACAACTCACTCATCCTATTCGACACGGGATGATAGCTTGCTATATAATTAAATATATATTTTGCAACGATTTCATCGCGTTTCGATGGCCAACTTACTGCATGTTTCTGCGATTCCCCGAGCAGACACGGCGATAGGTCCCCTGTGGCCTTCGGGTATGTTACGTGGATCCCACCGGAACGGATTGGGCACGAGGTACGTGACGCGGGACCAACCGGCACGGAAGAAGGATGACGAGACCCGAAGGAAATCGTCGAAAAAACTTCGAACCATCCTCCGAACGACAATAATAGTCCGAAAGAGGCAGGCATAGACTAGGCGATTAGACTACTTCGTGTATCTCGTTGTACATAGATCACCTGCCCTCTCACGCCTGCGTGCCCTCACGCCCTCACGTCCGCCTCCTCCTTTCGTGATGACCGGGGACAGCAAACAGTGGACAGATGCGTGAGGGTGGCATGAAAGCATGCACAGGCATTGGGACAGACAGGTGCTGCAAAAATGCAAACGAGAGAGAGTGAGTTGACATGAAACTGTACCCACACACTACGGATTGTGATCCTTCCGGCCATCGGACATACGAAGTAATATTTAGTCTTGTGGACTCTATGCGTATGCAGATTTATTGCTTGGCCACACCCGCCGGGTACTGCAAGTCAGGTACTGCAGTTCACTTAATTAACTCCCATTCCTCCAAGGTCCAGCAGGCCCCGTACTTTGGGAGCAACGTGTAGATATGGTTTTCGCGGACCGTGTACGTTCGCGACAGAACG